CACAAAAAAATAATTATCCATGTTTTAGGATAAATACTCAGTAAAAACGGATATTTATCCTTAGACGGATATTTATCGGGTAAAAACCCACCTCTATTTCTTATGCCAGGCTGCAATATTGCTGTCTGACGCGAGTGTTGTATTGAAACTCTGAGCAATCGAAGCATCCTAAGTAAATAAATAAATAACATAGAAAGACCTTATTTATCTACAAAACACGTAAAGAAACATAACTTAACAATTAAAACAAATAACCGTGATGTGGACAAAAAGGATGAAGATCAGCATTGCTGATTTTCAAGCTTCACATTAAAGCTATTCGCTTGCTGCGTCAGACCAAGCGGAGTGTACATTAAACACCAAGCGATTAATAGAGGCTGTCTGTGTTGCACTATAATTGGTGCCATAGACACGCGTGTTGCCCGTCATTTTGTATCATAGAAAATGTGAATTTTTATGAAAGGGAAATTCTAAACTTAGCTGAAATATAACAAAATATTGTAGATCAACACGGCCAATACATAATTGATTAAGTTTGATATTTTAATGATTTTCATTTATGATACCGCGCGGACTTATTGGTCTACACAATGCATACCTAAACTGGTGGCGCTAGTATTGAGTTGTGACGTCCAAATTCTAATTGTTAGTAGTTAAATTAAGGCGCATTTACACGGAGAGAGTCTTTTCATCGACACGGCTATCGGAAGGTAATAAAAAAAATCATATATTTCTCATCTCATCATCAAACCGAAAACGAAGAACTGCAACAAGCACATTCGTAAGATCTGCTGGTTCGTTTCGTAGCTCAGTTGGGAGAGCGTTAGTCACGGTATGCTGAAGTCGTTGGTTCGAACCCAGACGGATCGAAGGAATTTTCTTAATGTCCGATCTTTTTGTATTATAATTATAACATGCTATACTAAACTAGGATGATCTCTGTGACACTTCATTTGACGTTTATCATAGGGATGGGGTAAAGTCGTTAGATTATTAGTGTACTTTATTTTGAAGCAAAGTTCTCTCATATAGTTTTATTTTTGTGACTTATTCTGAAAAAATATATAGAAGTGTGAAGTGTTTTGTATTATATTGAAGGCATAACATAAACAACTATAATCTAAATGCAATGCCAATAGTTATTTTAGAAAATTTCAAAAAACATATATCATTAATTCAATAAAGTAATAACACTGACATGTTAATTCATGATTGCCTGAGCTGCATGAGCCTATGATTAAAATTCATACTTGGAGAATGAATGTATTTATTAATTAAATTATCGAAATCGTTTTATCGATATACCTCATCTCTAGCAAATTCAGTGTGCAATGAAGTAACCTTAATAGTGTCGTATTAATTATAGAAGAAAAAAATCCCGCTCATTTCTAACAAATAAACATTGATAATGGTGTTATTGTTACTTTAGTGTCCCCGTCATGCGCAGGGCCGTACTCGGTGCAGGGCCGCTTAGAGTGATTGCGTGGTCCCACAGTGTATTTACTTGAATAAAGGCTATTCGTTTCAAAGCGAGGCTTATAAAAATTGTTTATGAAATACGTAACTTTGGGAACCTCGTTACAGGGTTATATTGTGTAGATTTTTGTGAACTGTCGCAGGGTCATCACCCTAGATTATTTCTAGTATAGTGAAGTAATTTCACAATAAAATAATTGAATATCATTTTAGTAAAAAATCTCGCCTACGATCATGTCATACGAGATTCACAAGTAACGTATCTAGTGCGACTGTTTATGAGAAACATATAGTGACCACGATGTAACGACGCAAGTACAACGTTATGATACGAGTCCTATGGCGATTGCTGCTGATACGCAGTCCGCAGAATACGTGAGCTTACCGATGTTAGTACTGCTAGACTAGTTTACTTTAGTTACTTACATAGTATAATGTCCTACGGGATTCTCATGTGAAGTAAAGCGGCTGACATTCAAACCATATTTGTATTGCAAAAACGAGCGATTCGTTCTGTGTACCGTCTAGGCTCTCGGGTTTCTCTCATCATGACTGTGGCATCACAGTACATTTACTCAAATATTTTATATGCCTGTAAAAATATACGTAATTCCAATAAGAAAGGAGATATCCATAATATTAACCTTAGAGCTAAATCCAAACTCATGGTACCACGATTTCGTTTAACCAAGGTAAACGACTCTATGGGGAACTATATACGTTTTTACAATAAGATTCCGGAGCATATATTAAGATTATCATTTCCTAAGTATAAAAACTACATTAAAAATATTTTGATTGAAAAATCATATTACAAAATGAAGACTACGTGTTAGATAAAGGTGTATGGAAAGACGACATGGCTCTAGATTCCACAGCGTATTCCATAGCATTTAAGTTTATTTGAAAGGCGCAATCCCCAGAGTTTCTTGCTCGTTCTTCTCAGGGAAGTCAGCGTAGTGAACGAGCATTACCTTAAATATGACGCTTCAAGTGTAAATTTATTTTACCTATGGAATGAATGATTCTTTGACTTTAATTATTGCTTTCGATAGTAGAGAACGTAGCTTGCCACGAATCGTGTGATAAACTCTCTCCTTGTAAATGGGTTTTTAGCCTAAAATTCTTGACTAAGGCCGACGACATATAGTGCAGCAAAACTATATAAATCACGGACTTATCACCTGCTTACAGTAGTATTCCGTTCGAATGTTTTTCCGATTCGTAGTTCCATATGGAGGCTTGTGAATTTGGAATTTCGCACGGAAAAAGCCGTTCCGAATGCAAGAATTCGATAGATTTTGTACATCCGCAACACGGTCGTCAATCGGTCAATTTTTGCTGCGAGACAAAAATACGTACAGAATTTACGAAATATCTGGACTCGAAGCCTCGCGTGTCTCAGCTGAGTCTTGTAACGGAAATAACCGTATGTGTGTGATGTGTGTACAGAATCCCGAATCGATATTCCGAAACGGAATTCCGACTGCATGTAGCCGGCCTTACAGGCCTACTGCGTAACTGAGTCGGTTCCTGAGATAACTACGCTGTGCGGGAGAAGTGACAGTTTACGTATTAGTTACGTTGCGCTGCACACGATATAAATTCAACAAGACTTTTCTGACGATATTCAATAACAAGTTGATTGAAAACAGTGCCAAATGGCAGTTTTTTTATTATCGTTTCATATAGCAACATTTGATTAATTTGGTAGGCACTTTTTTTCAATCAGCTTGCTATTGAATATCGTCAGAAGTTTTATTGAATTTCTCTCGTGTGCAGCTCGACTTATCTGTTACGTAAACTGTCTGTCTGTAGCTACCTCAACAGACTCAGTTAAGCGGTAGGCCTCTAGTAACATACAATAAAACGAGTATGGTAACTCCCAACAAACGTAGCAGCGCGGTTTGTATGTGTGCGCGCCCACCGAGTGTTCTGTACGGACGCACATATTTCGCGATGCATTCATGGTCGTCTCATGCGTTGTTCATTATTATGCCAATGTGTGCGTCCGTACTAGGTAGTCTACTTCCGTTCCGCGTCCTTCACCCGTCCGAAGCTTACTTCAAAGAAGTAATACTCGAAATTTAGAGAAGCACGATGCGAATGAAGCTTTGTACTTAACATTGTTTCTTGATTTGGTCGAGTATTTGACATGGTTGGTGGTATCAACATTCGCATCCACATCAGCATCTGCATTCATCGATACTGATATTCATTGGGGATGTCGAGTCGTGACATGACTTGAAAGGCACGCTGGAATAATTCACAAACCTTCCGGAAACGGACTGTAAGCCGAATGGATTTCAGGGGTCGGTAACCTTTTGAGTTGGAGCCAAAAATTACCATTTACAATATTTCACAGTTTTTAATGAGTCACTAAAATTTGTCTTGTGAAAGAGTTCGGCCAGGGTAGCACTGCCACCTTATCTATTTCTGCCGCCAAGCAGTAATGTCAGCATTACTGCGTCCCGGTTTCGAAGGGTAAGGATGCTGGTGAAATTGTGAGAGTCAGAATGGCGGGTGTACCTTAACGGATCCTGACAAATTTGGTATAAAAAAAAATGAACCTAATTTGTACTATTTTAATACCTCTGTTTAAAAAATTTGTTCCTCCATCAGAACGAAGTTATAGCCTTAGAATAATAACGCATAGAATGATAGTTTCATATCAAACGAACTGTCACAGGTGAGGCAAAAATCAAATTGATGTAGGCTAGTTTTAGTAGTAGGTTAATTTTCGGTTTTAGTGAATATTTATATAAACATACAAGTTGAAAGGCGTTACTTCCTTGGGGAATGTGATGTTAGTATCTATTTTATGTTTGTCTGACGTATTTTTACACTCATTTACCGCACATTTCGTTATTTTTAGCTAAAATTCTTGATCTGTTCGCGGTGCAAGTTGACCTTGAGCACTGAAGGCCCGCCCGCTCGTGTAGGCCCATTGGGCGCGCTTCAATTTGCCTCACTTAGCGTGTGCGGGCTAGGTTTATATGCGTTATTATTCTAAGGTTATATATAGCCTTGTTATAGCAATATCAAAGGTACACCCGCCGTATTGACTGTCCACTACCTCAGATTAGCAGTATTTATTTTGATAACCTGTATCATAACCAAGTTATAGCAAAATAATAATTGTAAATATTTTCGTAATTAAAAAAAAATAAATTTCCGCCATTTTTTTGGGACGGCAAAGATTCCACCAGACAGCCTCTTTATATGTCAGTATCTTTCCTTGTTTTAATTCAAAATGTTACAAGCGCGTGTCCTTAATACAGTTTATAAGTGATATGAGGCCCATTTGCCTGATTAGTTGCCATTTCGTGTCTATTTCTGGTTATATACTCGATGATGAATACACGATGGCCCGAACACGGCACGTGACGGGCGTACACACATATAAACCGCACTGCCGAGTATGAATGGACTACCATACTTGTTTTTATTATACTATGTTAGTAATTTGTTAATTTGTAATGAGTAGACAATTAAAGAACTCCTTTTTTTATTTGCTTTTTCAGAGAAAACTAGAAGCCCGACTAAAATCACAACGACGTTACGAAGAAAAGAAACGAAGAATGACCGGACAGAGCTATTTAGGTTTCAGAATAAGCCAGCCCGATAGGAAATGGATACAAGACGTTCCTAAATCTGAAAGAAAAATGGGTCCACCATGTAGTTCTAACTTATGCACAAAAGGCTTTAGAGATTGCGAAAAATTCAAAGAAGAAAAAAGATTAGAAATATTTAATAATTTCTGGAATAATCTAGATTGGAATAATAAAAAAAAATACGTCAGGTCTTTAGTGGAGAACGTGCCCCCTAAAAGACGCCGCCTTAAACATAAAGGCGAAGTCTCAAGAAAGGGCGCTTCTAAGAATTATTATTTACTTTTAAATGATGAGAAAATCAAAGTTTGTCGTGTTATGTTTCTTAATACTTTAGGCGTGAAAGAAACTATGGTGAGAACATGGTTGGACAATAAAGAAATACCTAGAAAATCCAAAAAACCCATCAAAAGCCTAAACGTTGATACCTACATAGATACATTACCTAAAATGCTACCCAGATGCCTATATTGCAGAGAACTCACAGACTTCTTATACATAAACATCAATAATATAAAAAATATATTTCAATTGTACAATCAATACATAAGGGATATGAAGATAAAGAACATACAGCCAGCTTCCAGAAAAACATTTTCAAAAGTTCTTACAATGAAAAAATTGAAAATTTTCAAACCCAAAAACGACCAAGACATATGCGATTTGGTACCGCAACATAATAATATAGACACTCATAATAATATAGATCTAAATGAATATATAGATGAACAGAATGTACACGGTGAACAAATTATTGACATACCAGTTGTAGTTGATAAGAATGTTGCACATATAACTGAAAATGTTAACATAATGACGCTTAATTATTACTATCACTGTACGATATAGGTTTGTTTAAAAATAAATGTAGTAGAATACTCTATACCACCTGTACACAACCTTTTTTTCCTTCGGACCACCATTGTACAGGGTTATTTGTGGAACACAACAACCGTGCAGGACTATATTACTAACATCTTAAAAAACAACTTTTACTCCATGAGTTTTTACAAAACTTATTAAAGAAGGATGGCGAAAGCTGACCAAAAATTAACGAAGTGCCGTTCATGGACTTTGCTAGTATAATTTTACATTTTAGTTTATGCCTAGTTATTAATATATTTTTGAATATTTTTAGAAGTCGCGAATAAAGAAATTGCAGAACAATGTATTTTAGAATAGATGCAAGAACACAATGCAATTAATTCAGTTCGGCCATAGATTAGGTAACGTTCTTGTAAATACGTTTCATTTTAAGCATGATTGAATGTTTACCCACCTGAAGTTTTGGTTATTTTATAATACACACATAAAACATTAAAGATATAAAATACCTAATGAAATAATCAATTAAACAATAATGACATGAAGTAAAAAATAAAACACAATGTGACAAAAACGTTTAGACAATATTTAAATGTTAGATACGAAAGTAAGTAAAGGAACGTTTTGACAAGAGGCCTTTTGCCAATGTCAATGTCACTTTGAGATTGAGAACAGTGTGACCATTTGTGGCAGATTTCTACCATTTGAATAGATTTAATTTTTATTCATTTTCATTGCGACGGAACATGTTAATGTTGTATTAAATGTGGCAGAGTTTGGCAGATTTAGGAAGAACTTGATGTTCTTTATTATTTTTAGGAACAAACTAAAAACTTGTTGTTTTCTAAACATCTGAAGCGAAATACAGGAAAATGTTATAAACATAACCTATATCAAGTTTACAACCCCAGCTTCTACAGGCTGTACTCAATTAGTTTTATTGATGGTTTGATAATAAATCCCAAGCATTGATAGGTCTCTTTAATGCAATCGTCAAAAACACTGGATCACAAAATACTAGGGATGTCGCCATCCTTCTTTACCAAAAACAAACTTTTAAGTTTCTGTTGTACTATCTGACACTTTTTAGATGTGTATTTTTAACAACGCCTCCCGCGTGCTGGGGTTCATAAAAATAATGTTCGTACTATTTGCTTTCTTTTGTCCAGAGTTAGCACCATTTAGAGCATAGGTTCTCAATGTTTTGGCTCATCGCCCACTATAATCAAAACTTTTGTAAAAAAGAACGAGCTGTGTGTAGGTACTCGTCATTTTGAATAACGTTATAGTTGAAAGATAATAAATAACGTCCTATAACCTGCTATTTTTTTTATTCCAATGTAAGTGTGCATTTGACCTCCTTCGCACCTGATGGAAAGTGACGATGAGGTCGACGATGGAGCATGCACCACTAGATAATGCCTATTCACTCTCGCCTTGAAAAGGTCCAAGTTATAACGTTCAGGGAACAAGTCTGCAGGCAGGGAATTCCACTCCATAGCCGTTCGCCATATAAATGTGGAAGCGTAACGCTTCGTGCGAATCTTTGGAATATCCGCAACATAGGGGTGGAACCCAAGCCTACGCCTAGTCCCCCGATGATGGAAAGGGGAAGGCGGAATTAAATCGTGTAATTCCATCGCACATTCTCCGTGATATATCCTGTAAAATACCGATAAGCAGGCTACTTTACGGCGGTGTTCAAGACTCTGCAGCTTCGCCTCTATTAATTCTGAGTCACCTATAAGCCTCTTGGCATGCTTGTCAATTGAATCCAAGGTGGCCAGTTGATATGTAGCAGATCCATCCCAAAAGTGACAAACAGTACTCCATGCACGATCGGACTTGTGCTTGATACAGCTGAAGCAACTGTCCCGGTGTGAAGTAACGCCTCGCCTTGGAAAGGATGCCAAGCTTCCTGGCTGCATTTTTAGCCATGGATTCCATGTACAAATATCTTTACAAATATCTTTATTTACCATACATAATTACAATAAAGTTACAACATACAGTTTTGCTAAAACAGTTGTTCAGGGTGTAATTTGCCAGTGGCTGCCACACTAGGGAAACCCTGTATCGTGGGAGCCAAGTGTTACAGTAAGTGGTGTAGTTTGAAACGATTGAGCAAGTAACAACGGATGTTACGAATTTAATTATATATTTTTTTTAGTAATTGTGATTATTTTTAGTTGTAAGCATTAAGTATTTTTTTCTATTATTGAATAACTATTAGGTATGTACTATTTGAAATATAAAATATAATATTTGTTTGCAAAGTACACAAGGGAAAATTGGAGAAATTGATTTTGTGTGCGGGTTTGTGTGGGAGTGTGTTTTTGTGAGAGAGTGTTTGACTGTGTGTGAGTGTGAGAGTGCGTGTTGAGAGCGTATGATGATGAGGATGTGTGCTGTGAGTGTTTATGATTGAGTGTGCGTGTGTGAGTGTGTATGATGATATGCGTATGGTTAACCTATTATTTTAAGAATATTTTCCGTGTCTTGGTATGATAATTTGAGTAACCAGTTGGTGAGAAGAACTTTAGCTTTATAAATACGACAGGTTTTTATTTCAGGGATGGCGCCAGTGATTCTATTGTAGATGAGAGGCAACTTAAAGGCGAGGTGGTTCCTGGCGAAAGCCGTTTTAACGGAATTGGTCGGTATTCGAAAGACTCTTTTTTGCAATAAAACCGAATAGTTCGGTGAACTAATCGTTGACTTGTGAGCCATTAAAAATACTTTTAGAAAGTAAATTTGGCGGACGTTTAAAACTTGAGCTTCCGAATAAAGGTCTATGGTGGGATGCCTGCGATGCCTCCTGAGCATGACCTTAAGTATCGAACGCTGAGCTCTTTCGAGCCCAAGCATAGTAGAAACACCCACCCCACCCCACACCGAAATACAGTAGCCTAGGACAGACTGACACAGGGCGATGTACACGGATGTTAGCGTAGGCTTGTCGGCAGACTTACTCAAGAGGCGCATGATATGCGTTAGTCGTCTGGTTTTTGTTATCTGCCATGCGATGTGGTGCCTAAAGGAAAGTCTGTCATCGATCTGAACCCCAAGATACCTTATATGTTCTGATCTATCAATAGAGTAGCAAGAACAGGAACTGGTGCAATTGTGTATTTTTAGTTCGGTAGGCGCCAATGGTTTAGAGGCCGCGGTTTTGTGAAAACAGAGATATTTTGTTTTACAAAGATTCAACGTGAGGAGGTTGCTGTCAAGCCATTCCTTCAAAGACGACATCCCAGATTCCGCCGACGCCAGTGCCTCGCTTCAGGTATCGCCGTGAAAAACTGCCACCGTATCATCCGCATAACATATCAGCTCAGGGCCCTTGATGTCATGGATATCGTTTATGTACATAACGAAAAGTGTCGGTCCAAGGACACTGCCTTGCGGCACCCCAAGTACTACCGGTAGTTGCTCGCTTAGGTGATCGCAAATCCTGACCTGTTGGAACCTGTCGGTAAGGTAGCTCCGAAACCAGTCCAGCACTATCCCTCTAATACCAAAAAGCTCCAGCTTTTTAAGCAGTAATGGGACCGAAATTGTGTCGAACGCCTTCGCAAGATCGAGAAAGACACCAAGGGATTTTTGCCCTTTGTCCATACTCTTTGAAACCAGCCCTACCAGAAGTCCGACGGCGTCCTCTGTCGAGAGCCCACCTCGAAACTCAAACTGACGATCAGATAATAGATGGAATTTCTCTAAGTATTTCATTAAACGTGTGTTGACTATTCTTTCTAAAATCTTTGAGAAAATTGGCAGCAGGGATATGGGCCTGTAGTTTTCTGGTAGTGTTTTGGGACCGGACTTGTGTATGGGTATCAACACTGCTACCTTCCAACTCTTAGGAAAAGTTCCACTACTCAGACTGAGGTTGTAAATGTGCGTTAGTGGGACCACTATTTCGCTGCAGGCATCTTTTATGATCGATGGCTTAATGCCGTCACTACCTGGGGCGCTATCCAGTTTAAGCTGAGATATAAGGTATGTATGTATGTGCCGAAGTTCAGATTGGACGACAGGTCCATTCCAAGTAGCTGAAGACGGTCGGCTATCGGTATGGATATATCACGAAAAGTCGGAGTCAGCTCAAGGGGACTCCGTTTAGTGGAGAATAGAAACGCCTGCGTTTTGGTAGCGTTAAATTTGACAAGATTGGCATCGCACCAATCGGAGACTGCCTTGAGCGTCAAATCTAAACGGCTAACCGTGGACTCTCGACGAGACTGGGTTTCCTCTCCACTGACATTTGCATTGGTCAAGTACCTATCTACAACTGTGCTGTCATAGCATACGCAAAGGTACCTGGAATTAACATATCATTGATATGCAGCAGAAAGAGAGTTGCAGACAGTACGGAACCCTGAGGAACTCCGGCTCTATCGCCATATGTTCGGAAGAGTAGCCTTCTAAGACCTCTGAACGGAACGTTCACTCAAGAAATCCGAGATCCAATTGCAAAGGTCAATGGGAAGCCCATAACATGGAAGCTTGCTTAAAAGGCTTGCGTGCCAGACATATTAGAACGATTATCATTACTGATTTTTAGTCCCTATTCAACCCGGGGTTCCTATTCACCCCGCAGTTCGTATTCACCCCATTTTTACCTATATTTCACTATGCACAGTCACTTTTCAATATTCGAAATGAAAATTCTGTGTCAAAGGCGGAAGATCTAATTTTCATTGGCAAATTGATTCTGTATTTATATACCTACGGCCCATTATATATTTATTGACGTAGGAAGTACAAAGGATTAGAATAGAAACTTATTATATTGTTTTTAATAAATAAATTATATAATAGTAACAAATAGCAAGCTTTAATTATGATTCAGTGATTGTGTTTTGGTAATAAAATTTGTGTTCATTATTGAAATTATTTTGGTTTTATTTACCACCCCTGGCACCTTGCCTATTTCCGAAGTAGCGGTAAAAGCCTTGTAAAAGTCGTCCAAGGTAGTACTGTCACCTTACCTATTTCTGCTGCAAAGCGGTATGCGAGATATACTGCGTTCCGGTTTAGAAGGGTAAGGGTGCTGGTGAAATTACAGGCACATTGGACTTTTCAACTTATGTCTCAGGGGGACGGGCGCAGTGGCAAAGTCCTTTGGATGGCACTGCAACTGTTATGAGCAGGCGTGACGCTTAGCATCAGGCGCACTTGTTCTTCCCTTCACTTAGTATCATAAAAAAAAAACATCTAGATAATAATATTGAGTAAACATAAATTACACTCCCGGACACGTAAGTTGAGCCACCTTGCATTTTGAGTATTAATTGGCCTGAGCTTAAACAATGTTTGATTGGTCGAACACTACTAAGCTATTTTGAAATTGGTATACTAAACGTCATTTCCATGAGTCCGTCTCGAAAATTTGAATTTATAAAACCGGAAAAAACTGTTTTCTTCAGTGATAAGAATATTTTTGTATTCTGCCCTTTAAGAATAAAAATGCAAAACTTTTTTAAAATTTAAGTGCCATGGTTAGTCGTACTATTTACTGCCTATCTATTAGCACAGTTAATGTAGAATATTATGACACCAAAAAACCGAAGGAATTGATTAACTTGTAGTCGTGGTGTACAAAAACGTAAAATAAGGTGAAAATAATTAAATTTAAAGAAAAAAATATCTTAGGTACTACATGGGATATATTTTTCTTTGTATTTTTTTTGAACGTTCATAAGCTTTACTATAAGCCATTTGAGGCTTATCCATTCTTTACCGGACACCCTGTATAATAAAAATAAAACCTCGGATACCAAAACAGTGTATTCCACTGCCGGGCACAAACTAGATCCAGATTTCCCTGAGAAGACTGAGCAATGCACTCTAGGGATTGCTCTTTGTCAATTAGACAACATCACACGTTGCTCTGATCCCAAAGTAAATAACAAAAGCACTTGTGTTATGGAAACCGGAATTAGCCGACATCTTCGGAACTCTGTCACAGATTACTCGCGAAAATATCTATTTTCTAACTGGTAATCTAATCCTTGACTAGCGCTAAAAACCCTTTTTGTAAAAAAAACATGAGTGCCCATAACCTTTTATAAATGTAACAAAACACTCAGGTTGAAGTCTTACCGACGAGTGAGACATAGGGTCGTATTCTAGAACTCTATTCAACGCTCAAGTCAGGATTGCACTGGCAACACAAGCACTGGAAATACGACCCTAATGGCAGGGACTTGAGTATGATTTCGAGTGCTTTAAACCATACTCAAACCCTGACTTGAGCATTGAGTAGATTTCTAGAATACGACACTTAGTCAATCACTCATACATCTTAATCGAAATCATATGTCCAGAACGGTAATTCAGCAGAGTACTGATACAGGGGGCATAAACACATTTTGATATCCTAATTAATTACAACGACGGTACCACAAACATCCAGACCCGAGACAATATAGGACCCGAGACCTCAGAGACGACACCATGAAAACCACGCAGACTGCTTTGTAAATAAACATTTTTTTTATAATGCCAAGTGACGGGACGAACAAGTCGTGCACCTGGTAGTAAGCGACACGCCTGTTCAAAACAGTTGCAGTGTCACTCAGAGCTTTAAATCGCAAAGATCTTAGGGGCACTGCCACTGCGACCGTCACCCTGAGACATAAGTTGACAAGTCCCATTTGTCTGTAATTTCACAAGCACACTTACCCTTCCAAACCAGAAAGCAGTAATGCTCACATTACTGCTTGGTGGCAGAAATAGGGAAGGTGGCAGTACTTCGAGCTCTACAGCTGCTAATATTTTTATACATTTATCATTTACAATATTTATTCCAAATATCATTGATCGAGACATCTGCAAGAGCTAAACGGGACTCTACCGAGGATTTTTGTTGAAGAAATTCTATAACATGGCCAATTACCGTCTCTACAGTTCCATAGAGCAACACTTGTAAATTCTTGGGTTTCACGTTAGACTCAAATTTAAACTGCAAAGCAATTATAAAGTATCTGTGTGAAAAACTTGAAAGTGCTACATACGCAAAAAGGAAACTGCGTCCTCTTGTTCCTATTACGGCAGACGTACTTTGCATATTTCATTCGTTAATGTCATACAGCATCGCACTGTGGAGTAACTGAGTCAAATAGGGTGTTTATTCTTCAAAAACGTGCACTGAGAACTACAATAGGTGTAAAAAAAGATCACTGATCCTGCAGAAACTTTTTAAAATATAAACATCGTATAATGACTACTCACAATAGATCTATGATAAATATGTAATAGTTTATGCGCGTCAAAACTTGATCACTTATGAGTGACGTACGGCCGCCGGCCGAGCGTTGCGATACCCATCCCCGATTCTTCGGATATCTACCCACAGACCTGAAAAGTGTTACAAACTCCACCATCCTCCCATTCTGAAACCGAGTCGATCTCATACTGTACGGTTTCAGAGGATCGTTCTCCCACGTCAATTAGGTTGCGGAATTAACTCCCTGTCGGGGATTTCCCGCAAGAATACAGCATGAAATACTCTTCGAAACATCGGGCGTTAGATAGATAGAGTTCCTCATGGTTCCGTACTGTCTGCAACTCTCTTTCTGCTGCATATCAATGATATGTTAATTCCAGATGACAGCACAGTTGTAGACAGGCACTTGACCAATGCAAGGGTCAGTGGAGAAGAAATCCAGTCTTGTCGAGAGTCCATGGTTAGTCGTTTGAATTTGACACTTAAGGCAGTCTCCGATTGGGGCGATGCCAATCTTGTCAAATTTAATGCTACCAAAACGCAGGCGTGTCTTTTCTCCACTAAACGGAGTCCCTTTCACCTGACTCCGACTTTTCGTGATATATTCCATACCGATAGCCGACCAGCTACTTGGAATGGACCTGTCATCTAATCCGAACTTAGGCAGATACATTGAGTCCACAGCCAAAAATGCACCCTGGAAGCTTAGCATCCTTTCCACGGTGAGGCGTTACTTCACATCCGGACAGTTGTTTTAGCTGTACCAAGCACAAGTCCGGTCCTTTATGGAGTACTGCTGCCATTTATGGGATGGCTCTGCTAAATACCAACTGGCCACCTTGGATTCAATTGATAAGCGTGTCAAGAGGCTTATAGGTGACTCGGAATTAGTGGAGGTGAAGCTGCAGAGCCTTGAACACCGCCGCAAAGTAGCCCGCTTCTCGGTAATTTACAGGATATATCACGGAGAGTGTGCGATGGAATTGCATAATGTAATTCCGCCTACCACTTTCCATCATCGGGGGACTAGACATGGCCTGGGATTCCATCCCTATGTTGTGGATATTCCCAGGATTCGCATGAAGCTTTTCGCTTCCACACTTATATGGCGAGCGGCTAGAGAGTGGAATTCTCTACCTGCGGATTTATTCCCCGAACGCTATAACTTGGACCTTTTCAAGTCGAGAATGAATAGGCATTAAGGTGTGCATGCTACATCGTCGACCTTATCATCACTTTCCATCAGGTGAGGTGGAGGTCAAATGCACACTTATTTTTTATGTATAAAAAAATGAAGTCCTTCAAAAGAGGTTTGAGAAAAATCCTAAAGGCTTGGCAACACGCTCGTGACGCCCTCTGGTGTTGCAGGCGTTCATAGGCGACGGTTACCGCTTTCTATTAGGCGGGCAGTATGCTTGTTTGCTGCCTACATAATATATTTGAAAATACAAACGACAAACCGTTTTATTTAGACTAAAACTCCTTTTATTGGATAATGAATTTTACAGCGTAGATGAGTTTCTTTTGAAACAATTGTAATTTTGTTTTTACTTGAGTTCGCTGTATTTCCACTGGCAGTAGTTTACTACTTTGTTTTATATTCATTATCACTGATTTCAGGATTTCGATCTCCACCTACTACCCCCTGAAAACCGCATCACGGCGCTACAACTAGCATCGAAGTTAAATGAAACGGAGCGCCCTCTCTTGGTTGACGTGAGAAATCCGAGCGAGTTCGGAATGTGCGCAATAGATGGCGCTGTTAACTACCCTATTGACTCTTTGAGGGACGAAAAGTTGGACGCATTGCTTGAGGACATTAAGGCTTGTTGCCGTGAAGGTAATATTTAAATTATAATTAGATTTAGTAGCAATAGAGCTCCTGGTCAAAGAGTTCGTCCAGGGAAGCACTTAAAACCTATTTAAGCAATAATGTCAGCATTACTGCGTTCCGGTTTTGAAGGGTGCTGGTGAAATTAGTCACGTAGCACTTATCAATTTATGTCTCAGAGCGAAGGGCGCGGTGGCAGTGCCCCTCCGATCCTTGCGATTTAAAGCTCTGAGTGGCACTGCAACTGTTATGAACAGGCGTGTCGCTGACCACCAGGCCCACAACTGTTCGTCCCGTCACTTATCATCATTATTCTTTTCAGTAACCTTCATCTGCCGTCGAGGCAACGACTCTCAAATTGCTGCCAAACGCGTGATCGATGCTTTGGACATTCATGACAAAGAGCGTATCACCGACTTAACAGGCGGGCTGCATGCTTGGGGTCAATATGTTGATAAAGACTTCCCTATTTATTAGTTTCAGTTACCTATCAATCATACTAGACCGATGTACCAAAGTACGATGGTATAAGCGCTAAATACCCAATGCAGGTCTATCACAATGTGTACATATACATGCTTCAGGCCAAAGCAAGTATTATAAGTAGTAGTATTATAAGTAGTAGGCCCTCAGTTTTGTATGAAAAACGTATTTTTCATAAATGTGAACGCTATGTTTTCGTTATAATGTACACTGGGCGTCGTAATCTTCGTAATAATGTTTTCTTTAGTTCATTTCACATAGCATGATTGTTGTTTTTTCTTTTCATTCTTTCTGTAAAAGAAAAGCAGTGTTTGAAACCATATATCCAAGTCTTCGTGAATTTTTCTTCTATAAAGCGCATAGCATGATTGAGTGACGTTTTAGATTTGAAATTTCTAGATATGTGGTGATGTAAAATCGAATGAAAAAATCGATTTAAATATCTAATCAAGATAATTTGCAACGAAGAGACATCGATTTATAGAAAATAATTTAGGAACAAATAATAAACAAAATTGAAAGAATTCAGTTAGTATGTTATTAAGTCACCAAAAAAAAACTAAACAACTAATAAAGAAATCAAATTCCGAGCATGAAATCGACTGCAACGAAACGAAATTTGAACAATTTCTCTAAAAACATCACGCAAAGCTCAAAACAAAAAAAGAAACGACCAACATTCAAGGTGTATGCACTTGTATTGACGCGATATTCGATTTATCGATTTTATGATGCAAATCTCTATGAATAAAATATTCCGCTTTACGCATCAAGTAATTGGGTGATTTATTTTTATCTTTATCATTTCATTTTATTTCTACTTAATGTACTGTAATTTTTATTTAAAATTACAACTGCAACAAAAATAGTTTGTTTTTAATACATTATGACAAATTTATTATTCCTTTTTGTAACCTGGTTGGTTTTTGTAACCTGTCCCAGGACTCATCCTATGTGAAATGGACTATAGTTCTGAATCACTTGACATATTATGTATATTTTGAGGTACACAGAGACTTAGAAGGCTAAATTACTTCTCACCTTCAATAATAAAGTGACGAAATCGAAGAATAACATTTTTTGAGAAATTACGTATTTATTAACAAAAATACTTTACGTGACACTAGGCAAATGTTCCATTTGGCTAGCGCCAAATACAAAAATAACTGTTTTACTGTTTTAACGACTTTTCTGTCGTAGCGCCATCTGTGAGAAATCTATTTCTTCACTCGACATCTTTAGCCAGCTGCTGGTAGCTGTAAAGGTACCTGGCTGACTGAAGAAATACATTCCTCACAGATGGCGCTACGGTAGAAAAATCGATAAAATACCAAAACGAATATCTGCAACAAGCATGTAAAAAAATTCGTAAGGTCCGCTGGTTTGTTCCGTGGTTTAGTTGGCATAGCGTCAGGCACGGTTTGCTAGAAGACGTTGGTTCGAGTCCAGCCGGAACGAAGGATTTTTTTCTAAGTGTTTTTTGTATTAATAATTTTAACAAACTAGTGGAGTAATTTCACAAAAAAATAATTGAATATCGTGGTGGTGTAGTGTTGGGTCATGGAAAAATTTCCATTTTGAATAAATTATATTATCCAGGAAAATAAATATTGTTCTGGATATTTTTCCAATATTTTTCCTTTAATGTTTCACATTATACGTTGACACCTGTCAAAACTTGAAATAGCTGGACGAAAACGACGGAGCCAACAAAAAAGTTTTTTCGCTATTGTGAAATCATTTTAAATCTCGTTTTTCTCTAAGTGACTTTTACTTATACAAGTTTATTTTTTATTTAATAAGTTATTAAGTTATAAGTTTATTTTAAATAAAACTTCAAAAGATATTTCTAAGCGTAGAACAATATAATCCATCGAAATTATATTTTTCCAATTTTTCAAACTTTTCGGGATTTTTTCCGGAATTCTTTCCACTATTTGGTAATTTTCGGAAAATTACCCAACAAAATGTTGATACATAACATCCTTACATTCATTAAACTTAATTATAAATATAACTCAGTTAGCCAGCAGAATGTGGAAATGGGCAGGCAGATGCTGTAAGTGCATCTAATGGTGTGAATCCTCTAGATGCCACGACACCAACAACCCCTGACCTAGAGATTAAGCTGTAGGGGTTTTATTGAATATGCCCTTTACCTCCATGGTTAGTCCCACAACCCTTAAGCCTCCCGGGCCTAGAGGGTATGCATGAAGCATTCCTCGCGCACTCAAAAAAAAGGCAAATAGGCTGAGTGACGATCCAGAAAACTGTACAGGAACGTGGGTAAGCAGCCGATGTCAAAGTGGCGGGGAAAATTTGGATGAGAAAGGCATATGAGACCCAGTGTACACGGAGGTTGAAAAAAGTAAAGAAATTTAACTAAATTCAATTTGATTTTATGAATATAAAGTTCGAACATACGGAAAAATTTCGTCGACTCGGTGGGACTAGAACCTACGTCCATGCTGCACCGTAGTATTGCTCTAACCGTCTGAGCCTCGGGCTCCTGTTACCGAGTCGTCCAAGTTCTTATATGTGTTTTTGTTATAGATCTTTGTGCTGACTTTTCGGCATTCGTCGCCGCTAGTGCCATATGAGAGAGATTTTTTAATAACCTTCTCACCGCAGCCATTACCTTTACATCGTATATGAATTTTAATTCATTTGCAGTGAGAGTACCAACTCAACGTCTGTTGACCTTCATGAATGCGGATTTTGGCCGAAGGGTGTCATGAACCGACGTTCCGTTTGCCCGATCTTCACATTGGAATTTATAAAGGGGCTATATCTAAACTGCCTCTGTGACGAGGTCTCGGGTTCGATTCCCGGGCCGGAGAAAATATTTGTATGGCCTACATTTATTTCTCTCTTGGGTGTAATTTGTGTTTGTCTATATGTAAGTACGCCAGTAAGGCATTGCTCTAACCATCTGAGCCACAGGTCCAGTTACCGAGTCGTCAATGTAATCCTATGTGTTTTTATTATAGATTTTTGTACTGACATTTCGGTATAGTGACATCTAGTGAGGGATTTTTGAATAACCTCACAGCAGCCGAGGAAAAAAATCTGTGTTCGATCTGCATTCATAATCATACCAAACCAGCAGAGTTATTTAAAAAAAAATTTCAATGGAATCAATTTCATTTGATATGGAAAGTTTTATGTCGTACGTCATTTAATTTTATTATTTCGATGTCTCGAATGGTCACTACACCAACTTAATATTTGGATCTGTTCTATTTTTAGTTTGTTATTTGTTTCTTCATTTTTTTTCGACAAAATTCGATTAGCATAATATTAGTAAATAAATATGGCTGTTTACAAAAATAATAGAAAATTACCAAAATATAATGTTGACAAGGTTGACGCAATGTTCATTGGAAATATAAATTTCATCAGTTTTCCAAAAATGTTACTTTTCAATTTCGGTCACTTTATATTATTATTGACGGTGCCATGTGCAATTTTGTATTGTGTGCAACTGCTATAATTATGTATAAGGCTTTACAGTAAGACTTAAAAGGGATGAAGAACATCCGTCATTTTGGAATCTCAATTTTTTATAGATGTAAGAATAGTATATTGTTAATGCTTGGCCACACAGAGGCGGCCGCGAAAGCGTTCCGGGTGCGAGAATTGTTGAAACACTATTTAGACAATTTCGTATTCAAGGGAAGGAGTTCATATTTTGATCTGTGGATTATATGGTAGATTGCTATACCGTTATTTACGACCACGGAAGTAAAGAAAAACAATGGAAGTGTCGTAGTTAAGCCTCGATTACTATCATAACCAATGTCGTCAAAATTCACACAATCTTAATTTGAAACACTCCGAAATCTTGATATTCATTGGCCGTAGTTTCAAATTTAAAAAAGATATAAGAAATTCTGGTTTGTTAATATAATTTCAACTTTACCCTGTTGGCATATCGTTGAAAGTCCAATACCATCAATACCTATTATTGTCAATTACGCCGTTTTGATATTATATTGAAATTTCAATCTATGTGCTGCTATCTAGCGGTTAATTGCTGAACGACGACGAATTGGAGTGATTAATTTAGTTGTCTAAAAAAGAAGCGACCATATTGCAGGGGTATAAGCTTTAGTTTCGTTTCTTATAACAAAAAAAAATTTCGATGAACAGAAAACTTAAAATTTATTCAAATAAGACTTACCGATGATTTGAAATACCACGGGTAATATTTTTGGAGCAGCCATAATTTTCGCACTAAAAAACAGCACAATAAGGCATTTTTCTAGGATTTTAGAGAATTTGCACGAAAGAATAACACAACCATACTATACAAAGCGAAAATGACTGAGCTCAGATAGGTCTTTCGAGACCTATAGTTGGCACGCGTCGGATGCTAACTAACCACTTCTACTGTATTTATTGTTTTGTGTTTACGACTTGCGAGATTCGTAATAATACATTCTTAGGAGGTTGATAACGATAGTAAAAAAATGTATGCAATTCACTTTGTAAATTGTTCGTTCCTTCAGTTTTTCTTCTTCCTGACCTTATTCCACACTAGGTGGGGTCGGCACAACATGTACTTTTATTCCACTCTCCCCTATCATCCGTCATTTCCATACTCACACCTTTCTTATCCATGTCATCTTTCACACAGTCTATCCATATTATCTTTGGCATTCCTTTCCCCTTATATCCCTCCCTTGTACAATTGTTCGTTATCCCTCAATAAAATAAATAAATATCGATCATTTTGAATGCTCCACTCTAAAAAATATTTCATCACACTTGCTCGTAAATAGTATGATAGCATGCAGACTAATTTGACTATAATGCCTCAAATACAACCGTTTTTCCTTCTCGTTATACGTTTTTCCTTCTCGTTATAGAAAAAAACCGTCCTCAAAAATTTGTGGAATAACATCTATTTGCCAGGTTTTGTTGAAATCGATTAATGGAAAGTGAGTAAAATCGGATAAACTGGACTCGCCCCTAATTTGCCACCCTTAGAGGAGGCATATTTTCTTCAAATTTGAATGGGACCGATACTGAGGTATCGGTAAAGAATCTTTCTTGAAAATCGATTCAATTTAATTTTTTCAAAAAGCCGGAGTTATCACATAACATACACACGCAAAAAATACAGTAGAAATGAGAACATACTCCTAATTTGAAGTCAGTTAAAAATAAAAGTCAATACAGGACCTTAGTTCTGTAAATTCCGCAATATGGCGTGATTTTGAAATTCAACCTATAATAAACAAAAATAAATATGATAGTAATCTAGCTAGGGTTCATAGAAAACCAGCGTCACAGCCCTCGGCTGTGGCTTTAGCTGAATGTGATCCTTTTGCATTTACGCCACAGCTGCATACATATCAGTATAGTAAAATTTATTGTTTAAATTTAGTTTTAGTTAGCTACGCTGTTTTTCTTTGTGTTGTTTCTACATTAATTTTTGCAATAAATGGTTTCTATTTCTATTAATCAACTCTTTTAAATGTTCAATAAATTAAAAACAATAATTAACTTGTTGTTTTTATTCATGACAATAAATTGAACAAAACAACATTATATCTGTCTTGCTGCTCCATTATCTTTATCTAAAACTAATTTGAAAAAGTAGAATCGTTTATACTGATGTATACATAATTATAGTATCAGATTGGGAGATACCTTTTAGCACTATAAAGGCCCGTTCAGATGACAGGCGTTAGACGCGCGTTTACTACTGCACTTTGTTTATCTGTAGGGGTTTCCATACTGATGCGTGTGTACAGTGCCTTAAAACGCGCGCTTGATGCTTGCCATCTGAATTGAGTCCCACGTATTGTGTGTCATGGAAAAATATGCATTTTCCCAATATTTTTCCACATTTGACGTTGACATCTGTCAAAAGTTGAAGTTACTAAAGGTAATTGATGGGGCCAACAAGTGGTGGTGGTGTGATTGTTGGAGTTTTTGATGTTGTGGAATCATTTTGAATCTCGTTTTTCTTTATCTGTTATATATACAAGTTTATTTTATAATTCACGCTAAGTAAAACTTCAAAAGATATTTCTAAACGTACAACATTTAAGTAGCAGTAGAGAGAAGAGAGTTCGTCCAGGGAAGTACTGCAACCTTACCCATTTCTGCCGCCAAGCAGTAATGTCACCATTACTGTGTTCCCGTTTTGAAGGGTAAGGGTGATATTACAGGCGCATGTGACTTGACAACTTATGTCTCAGGGCGACAGTCGCAGTGGCAGTGCAACTGCGATATTTGCGATTTAAAGCTCTGAGTGGCACTGCAACTGTTATGGACAGGCGTGTACCTTACCATCACGCGCAAGACTTGTTCGTCCCGTCACTTGATATTATAAAAATAAAAATTTCGGAAAATTACCCAACAGTAGCCCCAATCCTGCTAATTTTAAATCATCTCAGATGTGTGTTCATAGAGTGCCAATGTGTGGATTCTGCAAAAAATTAGAGTAGTGGCTAGCTATAGCTCCTATTGAGCTGCCATTGCAATTTTTTCATATTTTACTCTTCAACGGCGAGTCGATGGTTCTAATATTATATAAGTATATTGAATGTGTAGACTAAATGTTTATGATTGAATATTGTAGTGAGGCAACATTGATAATTAATTATTGAAGAGACACCTTATTGAGACTCAACTGCCTTTGCAACTAGATTTTAGCAGAATAACAAATATTATCAAAATTGCAATATGATCGCAGTGGAGTCTCATATAATGGAATTACAGTGACCAGTGGTTTAAAGAAAATTGGTGGAATTGGGATCCAGGATTCTAATTGTGAGTCATTCTACGGCTCGCCGGTTGTTTCACGTCAAAAAATCTGGAATCAAATAATCCATTGGTTAGAGTAAATATTTACTAAATAGAAATAGTTATTTGTTATGCAAGGCTGCGAAGTCGTTGTTTGACGCGAGGGCTTGTATCGAAATATGATAGATAGATAGATACTAAGATTGAACCAAAAGTAGAATCATAAGCGTAGCCAGGGTTTCAAGCCAAGAGACCCAAAACAACTTTGCTGCCGAGCGAAACACAAAACTTCACCTCCACTATAGTGAGGAAAATGGTAGATGAAAGAAAAACATTTGAACTATACTAACAAATCAGTTTTAATAAACAATTAGTTTTCGTTATTAATTTAATGTCAACAATAATATGAATAAAATATAGAAAAATCGCGTAGTTGAACGTGTCATTGTGTTTTTTTTTTCATCGAATGAAAAAGTTAGGTGCACCACAGTCCATTCGAATTTCAAAAACGCTTTTGCGCGCAAATTCCTAATGAGAAAGAAAGCCTTTCCGAGCTAGTGAGGTGAAAAGAAAATTGTTCATTTGACCATTGCTACAAACACAACTATTATTAAAGAAGGAACAATTTGCTTAGATGAATTTCTCACAGATGGCGCTACAGTAAAAAAGTCATTAAAAACCATAAATACCGTTCCGTGGCTTAGTTGGCATAGCGTCTGCCACGGTTTGAAGACGGGGGGGGGATCGAAATGAATTTTTTCTAAATGGTCGATTTTTGTATTAAGAATTTAAACAAACTAGTGGTGTAATTTTGAACTGCCTCTGTGGCCGAACGGTTACCATGCCGGACTGCCACGCAGAGGTCCCAGGTTCGATTCCCGGGCCGGGAGAAATAGTTGTATGGCCTACATTTGTCTCGTGAGTTTGGGTGTAATTTGTAGTTGTCTATGTGTGTGTCCATGGCACCCGCGACACAGGGTTTTCCTAGTGCGGGGCTATGTCGAGTGTGTGCGTTAATTTCACAAAAAACAATTGAATGTCATGGTGGTGAAAAATCCTGATATTCATTATAACTTAATCACATTTGTATAATTATAGTATTATAATATTTACAGCACGTTTTATATATAGGTATTATAGTATAAACCCATAATATAGGTATTATTATAAATATACGCGAGTGTTAAAATTATTTTGGTGGTTTGTCTTTATTCAACCCAAAGGTTCAATTCACCCAATTACTACAGTGAAATGTAATTCTTTTTCCTGGCCTTTTAGGAGGATATTTTAAGTAAATTCGAAATTTCATAACACGGCATTACTATCATTAAGCTCAACTTTGAACTTTCTAACAGCTAAAGTAAGTTTTATTTTACCGAACCTTTTCAATGTCAAAAAAAGAAGGAGATTTTCAATTCGACTGTATTTTTTTGTATGTATGTTACGCGATAAGTCCGGTATTTGTAAACCGATTTTGATGATTCTTTTTTGTTGGAAAGAGGGTAGCTCAGTATTGGTCCCATTTAAATTTGAAGAAAATATACCACCTGCAAGGGTGGCAAACTAAGGGATGAATCCGGTCCTTAAAGGTCGAATATTTTCTTCAAATTTAATTATGACCAGTAAGGTCCTGTATGACCCTCTTCACAAATGCGGGAATAATAATAATAATAACCGCGTAGTCGCGACATACAAAACAAAATAGAGCCGAATTGAAAACCTCCTCCTTATTTTGATGTCTGTTAATTGTCAATAGTTAAGGGTAACTATGGGAATTTCCGAGACTGCGCGAGAATTCTTCGGATAACGTACGAACTAAGTATTTTTAAACTGGTGAAATTGAACATATAAGAATACATGATACAGTTTGAATAATATGTACCTTTTTTAATTATTTGACATTCGGTATTCGGTCGAATAGGCGTAGTATTCGGCCGGATACCCAATATTACAAAATAGTATAGTAGCCGAATATTCGTGGCATCTCTAGTTTTAACGCACTGCCCATCTCTGCACTGTCCCTATCTCAGTAGATATCCCTATCTCGGGTCAGTACCCGAGAGATGGGGTTTTCCGGACCACGAAGACTACGGACTCGACAGTAAGACCAGGGTACGGCGGGCGTCCGAGCGAAACCCTCAGCCATTTATTATTTCACGGGTGTCTCTAACGGACCCGGACTTGAGTGATGTGGTTAGCTGCAGGTACGACCACGTTCTAGGCTTACAGAGAACCGGATGAAGCACGTACAAACGTGCTCTGATTCGGGGTTAGGACCTCACTTAGATAGTCTCTGTGCGTGCTCGCTCGCACAGGTCATAGTACCCTTCCCGCGTAACCAACGATATGGGACTGCCCATCTCTGCAATAACACAATTGACATAAATTGAATTATGCTATGGTTACAAAAGTTAACATTACTGGAGAAGCTCGGGTGAAACGAGTATAGGACCCTGCACTGACCACAAGCAAAATGGGCGCAGTAACGTGGAATTGTGGAAACATACTATTACACCATGACACCATGATAGGGTCATGCGATTGATTAAAACCCACCTTATGGTTCGTTCTTCCGTCTATGTCGTACGTGAGTTCACTATCATCTTCGTCGTCATTGTCATCATCCTTGTCTTCGTTGGCTCTTTTCGATGGGCTGTCGTCAGTTCTGCAATAAACAATTGTACCAAAAATCATCATGCATAATTGCCTAGTCGCATATAAGAAAATAAACTAGACTTCGCTAAGGCATTCGACTTTGTTACTTCACAAAACTATTGTATACATTGTACGTAGCAAAGTATACCCATTAAACAAAGTATAGGACACTTTGTTAATAATCAGTCGCATATATTTATCAAAATAACATAAAATAAAATAACGACAATAGCTATCTAGATTTTATTTAATCAATTGGTGTACCCCAAAGCAGTATCCTTAGCCCTTTTCTTATTGTTGTTTCTTTGTAAACACAACTGACATAATAGATGTTTTGTATGTACATACCTGAATCGTTCCATGAGCTTCTCAGCCAAAAGATCCTCCTTAACTGCTTTAATATAATCCAGCTGCCTCTGAAGCTCTTCTCTCTTAAAGGATGCTAAGAACAACTGCTGGCTTGTCGGCATTTCCGTCTGACTCTGGATTATTTTGGTGGATACGAAGTTTGTCTAAAAAGCAAAACGTCATGTAGCACAAAGATACAAAGATTAGAATTGATTCGTTTAGCTGTTCCAGATTGTTTCTACCGATGATGTTTAAAATACATCCTACACTTGGGGTAATAAGACAACATGTGAATGCCATCAAACACTCATGGAGGAATGTATACACAACCACTCTACAGTGGATTAAAAGACATAGCGGCTCACGTGGCAATGACGCAGCAGATGAACTAGCCAGAAAAGCCCATTGTGGCTATCAATGGTCCAGAACAACTATACACAAAGTACCCTTACGGTTTGTAGACAGGTGAGGGAAACACTCCCAACGTTCAACGCCAGTCTATCTCGAATACTAATCAAACTCAAAAAGCAAGAGCTTCGCACTGTAACTGCCGCCCTAACGGGTCATGGTCCATACAATAAACACCTTTTCAATTTACGTATCACAGTCAGCCCTCTATGCAGAGCGTGCATGGAGGGGGAGGAAACGGCTGCGCACATCCTACTACCGTGCTCGAGTTTGTCGTCACCTAAGGACGCTAGGGTTCCTCTTGTCCTTCTTTATTAAGTTCAGTCATGTACAGTACATGCCGACGATCATAAACACACCACCACGGAAGAAAAAAACAAGGGAAGTGTCTCAACCCTCGATTACGAATCGATCGGAATCGCTGTCAAACAAAATTATAAACACCACGAAATCTTGATAATGATTGTTCATAGTTTCTAATTTAAGAAGATGTAACAAATTCTGGATTAATAATATAATTTAAATTTTACCCAGTCGCTATAACGTTGACAGTTCAATACCTTTATTGCAAGTTAGACCGTTTTAATGTTATATTGAAATTTTGTTTAACGTGCTGCCATCTTGCGGTCAGTTGCTGGACTACGACGAACGATTAACATCTGAACGAACAGAAAGTACTATCTTCTCGACAACAGATGTCTTCTTTAATGCGCACATTGTATAATAAACTTTATTTCGATCAGTTACGTTTAAAATTAACAAAACACTCATGAAATATTTATTGTTCTGTGCCGCAGACGAAGTGTAAGCGAGAAAAACAAATTTCACAGGAGAGGGTTTTTATTAAATATTTCCACATAAGTATAAATGTAATACCTACCAAATTGAGCTATGAATATTGCAACCGATTTTGCAAACAGCCAGCTTTTTTAAACAATGGATGTTAAGCCTTTCTGGGTGCTTACAATATTTTTGTCATCCCTATCTAAAGCTTTTCGAGGCTTTTAGAGGTGATTAAAAGTAAGAATCAAGACGCAGCACGTTTCCACACTTGCTTGTATAAATAATATGATTACATGGTGGCTAACTTAGCTATAATGCCCCAAATAAAACCCTCGAGTCTGGCCACAATGACACTTTTTGACATAAATAACATGTTAAGTATAAACAACCAATAAACGGTTCGCAAAACATGTCAGAGGGCAAAAGGACACCTCCTTAGCTTCCTCCTCAGGTTGTGCGGCCTGGAAATTGGTTGTCGCAGACAGCGCTGTTTTTCAGCCACCTCCTTGCCCTCAAGATCTTAGGCGGGCTTAAAAGCAACCCAAAAACAATTATAATATTTTGAAAACCATTATTCTATATTATTTTATAGTTCAATATTATTATACATATAATAGGTGAAGATAAACTAATTTTAACATAAAAAAAAATAGAACAAAAAATAGGAGAAAAATAACATCAATAGGTTATTCTAACCAACACTTAGTGTGTGTGTGTATTTAACTTGTAGCACGACATACTTCCTTACATATAGACAAAGTTCAGGTTCAAGGTTCAAGGAGGTTACTTTAGTTCAAAATTAAGACAGTCGTAACAAATGTCATCTTAACAGAAAATTGCGAAACAAAATCAGAGTTATTGATTTTTCTCAAAGAAGATAATAGATTAAGGTGCTTATTGGCGAATGGAGTGAATATAATGGTAACAATCTGGCAAATTAAACACGTTTAATGAAATTGATAGAAAATATTATATACAATCTTAGAATAATAACGCATAGAATGATAGTTTCATATCAAACAAACTGTCACAAGTGAGGCAAAAACCAAATTCATGTGGGCTAGTTTTAGTAGTAGGTTAATTTTCGGTTTTAGTGAATATTTATATAAAAATACAAGTTGAAACGCGTTACTTCCTTGTGGAATGTGGTGTTGGTATCTATTTTATGTTTGTCTGACGTATTTTTACACTCATTTACCGCACATTTCGTCATTTTTAGCTAAAATTCTGGAGCTGTTCGCGGTGCAAGTTGACCTTGAGCACTGAAGGCCCGCCCGCTCGTGTAAGCCCTTTTGGCGCGCTTCAATTTGCCTCACTTAGCGTGTGCGGACTAGGTTTCTATGCGTTATTATTCTAAGTATACAATATGATAATCGTAATTTATTTATAAAGAAAAGACCACAAAGTGGAATTACATCTATTTGCTAACTTTTATTGAAAGCGGTTACCGGAAAGTGCGCGAACCCGGATTCATCCCCTAGTTCGCCACCCCTAGAGGTAAAATATTTTCTTCAAATTTAAATAGGACTAGACGCCTAAAAAGAATCATCAAAATCGGTATCGTAACATACATATAAAAAAAAATACAGTCGAACAGAAAACCTCCTCTTTTGCTTGAAATCGGTTAAAAATAAACCGAACCAGACAGCGTAAGAAAAAGCAACTGCCAATATTTGGAAAAGAAAGACAGGTTAAAAGTAAAACAATACTTCATAAAAGAAATTTTTAAAAACCCAACAGCTGGTCGCCAACAGTGCCCATATCTTGAAAATTACCGAAATGTAAGTGTTGTTTATGACAATGAGGGCAGTATTGATCTCTTACCTTTTTTGCTTCCTCAATGTCAGGATTTCTTTTGGGAGGCATGAACAAAAACTCGCCGCTGTCCATCTTGATTGGCACCACCTGATATGATTTATCGTTCATTATTTCTTCTTATGAGTGGCAGGAACGGTTGGAATTGGCAATGGGCGATTGTTACTAAAAAACTTTCACGATAGTTGCTAATTTAATAAATTCTAATTAAATTTTCAGTATCTAAAAAAGGTCCTTTGTACTAAACTACGAAGTGCAAAAATGGAAAAAATATATCCTTATCGAGTTCTTAGGTTTTCGCGATTGTTACACATAGGAAATGAAACTATTTTTCCGGATTTAAATCGCGTATATTTGCTTTTATATAGTATATAGTATTGTATAGTGGAAAAAATAGGGTGGTTTGCATTAATATTAGACATAACTGGTTGAAGACTGTACCACCTCAGTCAACCGTGACCATGGGACCTGTAAAGGGCCCGAAACGTCGGTTTGTTTGAAAAAACAAATATACGCGATTTAAATCCGGAAAAATAGTTTCATTTCCTATATATCCTTTTACTAGAATAGAATAGAATACGTTTATTTGCCAGAATACAGTAATTACAAAGGTCTTAAGTAAAGTTAGGTACATTGTATTCAACCTGCAAGCAGATGTGCAAATATTAATGGGATTCAATGTTTCTTTAGTCTCTGTAGTTTCTAATTAATGTAATGAATTTGTAAATTCTAAGTATTCTTTATTACTATAGAAGCAATGTGTCAAAAGCCATTTTGTCAATTTTAATTTAAAAGTATGTCCTTGTAACAATTTAATTTCCTTTGGTAATTTATTGTAAATAATTAGAAGCAGTTATTCTTATAAATTACTTTATGGCAACGAGGTTGGTAACCTAGTAACAATCAAAAATTAGTAATTCAAATCAAAAATAGATTAGTAACTATTTCGATTCACAATCAACATTTGATCAACAATCAAAAGTGTGTGTAGTAACTAATTAGTAACCCATTGATATCACCAATCGAATTACTTCGATTATGTTTATAATCGAATAATTCGATTATGTTTATAATCGAATAATTCGATTATTTTTAGTATCTGTCGCCCATCGTCAAATAAGGTCGCACATACAGAGCACTTAAGAAATGTAATAAAAGCCAGAATATGAATGAAGCTACAGTACCGGCACGCTATGATGGCCGTTTTAGCAGATTACAATAGTGAGGTCAAATCACAATTAATTATCGAAAAAAATATAATTAAACGCGAGTAACATCTATAAGTTTTTGGATTTATAACTAATATTGCAAGGGGTAGCTGATTAAAACGCTTTAATAAAACGGAAATAAAAATGTTTACTTAATATATCGTCAATTCGAAACTGCTTTGTTTTGCATTGAACTTTGACTCGAGTTTGCCGGAGGTAGAAGTTGTGCTGGCCAGCGATCCTATAAGTGACGATCGCATGAGATTTCACTTTTAGATTTTTTTTTAACAATAGCTCTTTCAACGTTGTTATGAATTAATACGAAACTTGATGAGCGGATAAACGTCAAAACGGCCATCATAGCGTGCCCGTACTATAAGGTAAGTCGAGACCTAAAATATACAATGTTGACGTAGTTTGACCACGCAAAAAGGATTTTCGACTTTAAAAAACACTAATTCAAGCATTGACTTACAAACAAATGGACGACGGGTCTAATACAAAAACCACGAAAAAAATGTCCCAAGTCAACCTATTTAAACGTAGTGACATGTAAAGGAATATGAAAAAGCTAAAACGTTGAATTGAAATTGTAATGTCATCGGAGTACTGTCTAATTTTGCTTGCTTCGCTGTCAGTCGAACAAACGAAGACTAAAGCGTGAATGACGCTCTGTATACGATTTTAACGCCCTATAAGTTCGGACACTTTTTAGCGCGGACCCGACGTCCATATAATTGTAAGTCAATGCATTCAAGTTATAATTATCAATACAAAGATCGAACACTCAGAAAAAATTCCTTCGATCCGGCCCGATTCGAACCGACGTCTTCCAGCGTACCGTGACAGACGCTATACCAATTAAGCCAAGGAACGAACCAGCGGACCTCACCAATTTTTCTATGTGCTTGCGTCGTATCTATTTGGTTTTTCAAAGACTTTTTTTTGTTTTTCTCATAGATGTCTTCGCACTATCGTCATTCGCGAAATTGGCATTCGCACTCACGTAGTACACCCCGTTACATGACATAATAGTAATTTAAAAAGGGGTTATATGTAAACTGTCTTCGTGACCGAATGGTTAACACGCTGGACGCAGAGGTCTCGGGTTCGATTCAGTCGTGAGTTTGGATGTAACTTGTGGTTGTATATGTGTGTGTCCATGATACCTGCGATCCAGGGTTATAAGAGTGTGCGTTATTATTATTATATTTACCTGATCTGCTTTAGAATGTAATCTGGATTTTGCGCGTAATTTTTTACTGTGAATGACAGTAATCGGTACACGTACAGCGCCACCTATATTACAGTAAACAGTATAAATATGCATGTTTATATAATCTCAGTACAGAGTACTAAAAAAACCGACCTCAAAAGTAAGTGGAATTACGTCTATTTGCTAAGTTTTATTGAAATATCCCCTAGTTCGCCACTATACAGGACTTGACACTGGAGATAATAAAAATCGGTTCTCACTACTCAAAGTATATTGAGAGAAAAACGCCTTGAATTGGAGCAATAGCAAAATAAACCATTAAAGTAATTGCTCCTAAATTAAAGTTAGGCGCTATATATAAAAATGAATCTTCATGCGTGAACAGCCATCCTTCGAGGTGGATGATTTTCTTCAAAATGAAATGGAACCACTATGGAAGTACCCCCTTTCCAACAAAAAAGAATCATGAAAATCGGTTCACAAATACCGGAGTTATCGCGTAACATACATACAAAAAAAAACATACAGACGTATTGAGAACCTCCTCCTTTTTTGAAGTCAGTTAAAAAATCACTATGTATTTTATAGGGCAGAACTCCATGTGAAACAGTTCGTCCAGGAAAGAACTGCCATCTTACCTATTTCTGCCGCCATGCAGCATTGTGAGCTTTACTGCGTTCCGGTTTAGAAGGGTACGGGTGCTGGTGAAATTACAGGCACATGGGACTTGTTAACTTGTGTCTCAAGGTGACGGGCGGAATGGCAGTATCTTTCAGATCTTTGTGGCATTACAACTGTTATGGACAGGCGTGTAGCTTACCATCATCCACATGACTTGTTGTTAGAATTGATCTAATATAGATTGATGTTTACCAATTTATACGGGGTATTTTTTAAAGTATTACTAACATAATAAACAACAACTTCAGGTTGATGTAAGTTGTTATGATTTTATTGAATGGAACATAAAGAACAATGGCAAAATCATAGTTAAAAGAATTTATTAGCGTCTTCAAATGTCTTAATTGCAACTTTGAATAACTTATAAAAAATAATGTCGATTATCTATTCTCCAAAATACCACGAGAGTAAATGGTAAAACTGACAAAATGTGCCCAAAATCAGGGATAGATAGCTCGTTTCACAAAAAAATAACTTGTGTCCGAGTTACCAGTGCAATAGTTTGTGGTATATTAGTAATTAACTCAGTTTTTTGTTATGGGTTAACTTCATGCCTTTTGACCATACCGGTAGTATACAAAACAATTTCCTCTGAACTTTTGTCACGTTACAAACCCACGGCACCAATCAGTTTAATTAACTCCGTTTAAGGCTTCTGTTGTTTATTTTGATATACCTAATAACACACTGAATGTATTTTATTCAATTACGTTACACATAACCTCCAAAACTACAAACTGGAATATCGTTAATTCAAGACTTCTCAGAATAGTAAACCCAAAACAAAATTTGTTCAGGAATTTTAACTATATATTACTACATTAACAGACGCATACAAATTATGTGAACAAAAATTTCTGTGGGAGTTTGCCATTGTCCTTTGAATCAGTTGAACGCTATCAAATAACGAAAGAGATGTCATCAATACGTTAAGAAGTAAAAATAAGTTAACAAACTTAGAATAATAACGCATAGAATGATAGTTTCATATCAAACGAACTGTCACAAGTGAGGCAAAAATCAAATTCATGTAGGCTAGTTTTAGTAGTAGGTTAATTTTCGGTTTTAGTGAATATTTATATAAACATACAAGTTGAAACGCGTTACTTCCTTGTGGAATGTGATGTTGGTATCTATTTTATGTTTGTCTGACGTATTTTTACACTCATTTACCGCACATTTCGTCATTTTCAGCTAAAATTCTGGAGCTGTTCGCGGTGCAAGTTGACCTTGAGCACTGAAGGCCCGCCCGCTCGTGTAGGCCCTTTTGGCGCGCTTCAATTTGCCTCACTTAGCGTGTGCGGTCTAGGTTTCTATGCGTTATTATTCTAAGTTAACAAATGGGTTCATTCAGAGTGCAGGCACGGGCGCGCGGGTCTTCGCGTCTTCCCTTTCATAGTGCCAAAGCGACTACGAGCGGGGATCCACATGTCAAAATCGCAAACAGACGCTAGATGCTAGACCAAGCATTGTGAAAGGTATGGACGAACCAAACCAATAGATCTACGCGCGCGTCAGGCTCGAGGCAGACGCCGAGCGTCTCGTACATTAACACGCACCCGCCGCCACTCTGAATAAGGCCTAAGGCTTTACTTACCTGGAAGAGGTTGTGATTTGACAATCTGTGGGCGCTGAGTAGAATATTTCGGGATGATGTGCCTTTCGTTCTGTTCCCGAACCATGCCTCGGCTTTTCTGAACTATAATTAATGGGATTTTTAATTAATTAATTGAAATATAATCATTTGAAATATCATACAACGTTGTATGAAATAACTCCACTAGTTTTTATTATGATTTAATTATTTAATACAAAGATCGAAAGCATAGAAAAACTTTTTCGACCCATAGAGACGTGCCCAAGGGTGCAATGGAATCAAGTCCCACGACCATACTTCACCGCAGTGTTTGAAAGAAAAAGAAAGAAGAAAGAAAATACATTTATTTGTTTACCACAATGACACCACAAAAGACAAAAGACAAAAAAAAGAGAAAACGGAACAAAACAGAACTAAAACAAAACACGATCAAAACATTCAACGTAAAACAAATATATAATTACGAAACAAAAACACAAACAAACCCAAAATAAAAATGTATATACAAAAATTAGATAAAATTAAAACACGAACTATTCACACAAATAATAAAAAGAAAACTAAATATTGAGATACCTTGTGTGGTGCCAGCCGCGGTAAGTTTGCTCTTGCCAACTGACCTACCGGTCAAGTTATGAAGATGGTTCTAATATCTCTCACTAGATGTCACTAGCGGCGCAGAATGCCGAATCGATTCAATACAAATCTTTAACACATACGAGAATGTCGCCAACTCGATAACTTCACCGGTAGCTCAGTTGATAAGAGCAATGCTACGGTCGTGGGTGGGACTTGAACCCACCCTTGGGCACACATATTGCATCCTAAATTCAGCGTTGGTATAGAGAGACAGAGTTGCCATATTTTTATATTACAATATTTGTATTGCCAACAATTATAATTCAATGATCACCAGGATCCACAACGATGCATTTTTATCCACATCTCTAGATCTTCAAGTAGCAGTAGAGATCCTTGTGAAAGAGTTCGTCCAAGGAAGTACTGCCACCTTACCTATTTCTGCCACCAAGCAGTAATGTCAGCATTACTGTGTTCCGGTTTTGAAGGGTAAAGGTGGCCAGAGTATTAATCATCATGGACAGGTAGATAACTGTCGGATCTACCATGAAAACTATCAAAGAAAATAATTAGTTTCATAGTCGAACCCTCTGATGAACAGAGATATGCCGCTCTTAAAAATTTTTGTCTAGTGCGGCGGATTACACACCGCGACGCAATACTAAGAACTCACGGAGCGGTCTCCACCCGCGCCCACCGCGGCTGCGGGACAGCAGTTTTATTTCTAGTAGCGACACCGCAGGTTTGTGCGGTCACGTAGCCGCCGCGGTTGCGGAACAGCCCGCAAACTTGGCGGGAGATGAAGACGCGCGGTTATTTAAGATCGATAGAGATCGTCGTGGGCGAACCGACCGCAATAGAGCGATGACGTTATGCAACCTGAATGTTCTATCAATTGAAGGACGGGTCTCCCAGTTGCCACTGTTGGATTTTTCACGTAGTCGTTTGGTGGGGCCTTGGTTGCCGGTTGCGGAAGGTTTGGTTTCTGAACATGTTTTGCTAACGCTTCGTATAGTTTTAAAATGTTCTTGTTGTTTATTGGTTTCACTTGGAAGTTTGCGTCAGATTTGGAATCTTTGGTCGCAGGGATTGGAAGGAGAACACCAATGTTTTCAGATTCCTTTGATGTTTCGGCGTGGTAGATTTGTACGGCAACTAGAAACAAAAATCATTCATCATCAATTCAGCAGGATCATAAATGGGAGTTTTATTTGAAGAACATTGCCAATTTTTCTTCTAATTCTAATTACATTTTTTTCATTCCCTTTCTTATTTATCTCTGAACTTTTTAATTTATGGTTATGGTTCTCTATTTAAGATCTTACTTCAAAATTTCAAGTAAAAATAGTAAAGCGTACTAAATCTATATAATCATCACCAGTCACTGTATATCAACAATAATCTCAGTACAGAGTACTAAAAAACCGACCTCAAAAGTACGTGGAATTACGTCTATTTGCTAAGTTTCATTGAAATATCCCCTAGTTCGCCACTATACAGGACTTGATACTGGAGATAATAAAAATAGGTTCTCACTACGACACTATTCAAAGTATATCGTGGGAAATACGCCTTGAATTGGAGAAATAGCAAAATCAACTAAATAATTGCTAAAAGTAATTGCACCTAAATTAAAGTTAGGCGCTATTTATAAAAATGAATCTTCATGCGTGAACAGCCACCCTTAGAGGTGGATGATTTCCTTCAAAATGAAATGGGACCACTGTGGAAGTACCCCCTTTCCAACAAAAAAAGAATCATGAAAATCGGTTCACAAATACCGGAGTTATCGTGTAACATACAAAAAAAAAAGAACATACAGTCGAATTGAGAACCTCCTCCTTTTTTGAAGTCGGTTAAAAATAATGTTGGTAGATAAAAATTATAATCATACGATTTGAGATAAATTTATTTACAATTAGTTCCGAAGGTAGCTGCACGATGCGGCTGGCGACACGCGACAAACAAAAACATGGATGTAAGAATTATAACTAATCCATCCCGCATCTAGATATGGCGTAGACAGAATTCACTTTTTTATTTTTTATTAATTTATTAAAATTATTTAAAGAAACCAACCTCTAAAGTTTGCTTAAGATATTTTATTGGAATTACATCTATTTGCCAAGTTTTATGGGAACCGGCTGAGGGAAAAAGAGCGTGAAGCCAAATTCAAAATCAAAGCAATCTCTATTTCATAGGTAAGCATTATTACACTTGAAATTGTCACAATGGTTAAACTCTACCGCTCATTCGTAAGGCAGATTCCCCTGAGAAGAATGAGCAAGAAACTCTATGGGTTGCTCTTTGTAAATAACAACATTACAATTTTTTTTTTTTAATTTGAAATATCAGAGATCGAGACAGAGTATTTTGTCACTCAAGTACGCAGAAGTTGTATAATAATAACCTTTAGTATAAAGTTTTTGTTTCACTATACATAGTTTTAAGCCCCGGAATCTTGTTATAGAAGTGTATACATTAAATGAATTTGTCACTTTGTGAAGACGACTATCAAGAAAAGCTAGTTTGTTTCTATTCCTCGTATTAATGTTTTGTCTTGTCACTATTTTTCATAAAGAAATTACTGTTCTTCTTAACATAACCGGATTCATAAACTAGTTTAAATGGAACCAATACTGAGGTACCCCCTTTCCAACAAAAAAAGAATCATCAAAATAGGTTCACAAATGCTGATGATGTACCAGTAATTAGTAAATTATATACCCGACTACGCCTTCTAGTAACACGATTAGCAATCTTGAGTTTATTGGCATTGATCCATGGCAATACTTACAAATTATGAAAATCAGATCTCTCATCACTATATATTCTTATTATTACAATAAAAATCAACAATTAGCCACCAAACTTTCCGATTTCTTGAACGATGCAGCCGAAAGACTTAATTAAAAAGACAATTGTTTCGGTTTACAGATAAACGCGGCATGAAATTGATTTTAGTCGTAACGAAATTAGTTTAGTGTCACGTAAAACCTGAAATTGTTAAACGTAACTGTTGTTCATGTAGTCTCCTTAACGGACACGTTTGTTATTGGATATTTTGTAGTTAAAAATCAAAGTCAATTAATCATTTATTCCATAGGTAATAGTTATTTTTTTCACCTCACTATAGCGAGGAAAATGGTAGATGAAAGAAAAACAGTTGAACTATAATAAATCAGTTTTAATTAACGAAATTAGTTTATC